TTAACCATATAAAAGTTTTATTTCTTCCTGAGCCTACGCTTTCCTGCCTCCCGTCTAATCATTCTTCTCTAGCTTTTGTACAGGCAGCTCATTCTGGCTACCCAGTGGCCCAAGGCACCTTCTCGGGATGACGGATGACTACAAATATCCTCCTAGGCTCTCCAGGCTCACCCGGGGAACTCGAGGGAGCCTAGATTTGCAGCCTGCACCACAACTCTTTAATTTTTTTTCCCTTTGGCCTTCTAGATTATTATCGATTTTCTTCCCTTACTTACTAGCTTCCTTTCCATTCCTATTTGTCTGAGTTGAGTCAGAGGGCAGGCACGCCTTCTCCTGTTTCATCCTAAAATGTTGCTTAGCTAAGTGAGGAAGAGGAGGAGTGGAAGTTACCCCCACAAATGCACTTTCTCACTGGTCACTGAAGATACATCCCAGGCTGCCTTTCTGGGATGACAGATATTGCCATGAATTCTAGAGAAAATTCTTTATTAACTATTGTGGGAAAGTAGGATGTAACTCTTTGCACTAACTAGTATGGACTAAAATTTTGTGCTCCCCACCTCCAAGAACCACATGTTGAGGCCCCGGTCCCCGATGTGATGGATTTGGAGGTAGGGCCTCTAGGAGGTCATTAGGTTTCAATAAGGTTGTGAGGGTGCAGGCCCCATGATGGCACTGGTGCTCTTAAAAAAAGATCAGAGTTCCTATCTCTGTGTCATGTAAGGATGCAGCAAGAATGCAGCATCCACAAGCCAGAAAGAGAGCTCTCCCCAGAGCCCACCCCTGCTGGCACCTTGATCTTGGACTTCTAGCCTGTGAGAGATAAATTTCTGTTTCAGCCATTCAGTCTACAGTATGATTGTTCTAGTGGCCTGAGAAGACTAAGTCTCTAATCAAATCAAGCACTGAACTACCAGGTATTCAAAGTAGCTGCTGAGACCAGAGGTTTTGGGGACAGACTCTTGTGATTATGAAGGCTGTGCCGTATTGTTAACTTACAATTCTCTCTTGGTGCACGCGCGATGATTTCAACCCAGCCTGTGTTCCAGGTCTCCTTAGTGGGCGACCGTATAACTGAGCCAGGTGACTTCCCGGGCCTAGGTGCTGTTGTTTTTAATATAAGCAAAGCCCCATTAAAGAGAACATCAAGGGCGTCCATGAAGACAAAGAGAAAACAATAAATTGTAACCTGCTGTCAGAGGAATAAAAAGGGGAATTTCTTTCATGTGAATAGGAGCTTGGAGTACAGCTGCCGGATAAAGTAGAGGACTACCAGTTAACTGAATTTCAGATTAAAAAAAATGAATCCTTCCATCAGTATAAGGGCGCTCCATTGGGTGTCTGGTGTTTTATGGGCCAAGTCTGGCCGACTCTACCTTTAGGGCCTTGGAGGTCAAAGTGCAGCGCCCAGACCAGCCACAACTGCATCCTCTGGAAGCTGGTTGGAAATGCAGCCGATCAGACGCTACCCAGACTTCCCGAATCAGAACCTTCATTTCTAACAAGATGCTCAAGAACTGCGTCTGCACATTCATGTGTGAGAAGCATTGTTTTAAAGTTTACACCCTATTTTTAGGGATGCTATTGCACTGGTTTTCAGATTGTCCCAACAGGTTGCAAAGGAAAAGGGAGGCAGGGAAGGGGCCCTCCTGACCACCTGCTGTGGTCAGAATGGAGATTTCAGTGTTGACGGGGCCACGGGCACCTGCGCTTTCTTCCCATCAGAGGGCAGAGTGTCCTCCTGTGCCCCGCCTCCTGTATTCAGACTTGTTCAGCTGTTAAAGCAGAGCGAGATCTCCCAGCGATGGGTGAGGGTGGAGGCCAGGGGACAAAGGTGGGTTCAGATTCTGGGGGAGGCAGTGCTCACACGCCCTTGACCATTATCTCAACACAGACACAGCAGCCACATCTGTGTGTCTCCTGCTCTCTCCATTTCAAGTCATTAATTTCAATGGTGCCATGCACTCAATAGCAGTTACTTGGGAAAATAAGATAATGGCTGGGCTAAGTGGACATATCCACTGTAGGGGTGATTTTGCTTTTGAAAACCGAATCAAGGAAGTGTGGCAAAGAGCCATGGAGAAGCAAGTGTTCAGGAAATAATCAGGAGAAATATGAGGGATGGAAGACAAGCCTGGTCAAATACTTAGACTGATAAAAGGGCTGCAGGGGTGGATGTGGACTGAAGATCGTGGCTGAAGGAGCCCACTGGATAAAATACAAAGAGAGGGAGAGATGCTGGGTAAGCAGAGGCCTCATCCCGCAGGCTCCCGCGAGGAAACTCCGGACTGTGACAATCTCTACCAATGCTAATAAGCATCTACGTTCCGAACCCATTAATGCTTGTTGATAGACTAAAAAAATATTCTGGTTCTTTTATTTTGGATGGATAATAAGAATACATTTTCTTTATTTTTTTTAACAAGCATTTTTAAATGCCTGTTTTCTAAAAACCCATACTTCAAAAGGAGGAAACAATAGATTATTATCTGCATTGCAACTGGGTTTTCCAACTTAGAAAACAGTTCAGTAAAATTTCATTAAATGAACAGCTCTCAAGATCACTTAATATTTGAACGAGAAGAAACCTTCAATTAAATTTAATTAATCAAATCTTTACTGGTTATCTACTTATTATGTTATTAAATATAAAGTTATAATATTAACATTCCATTGCTGTAGGAGAATTTTAAAAGGCCATGAAATTATAATTTTTTCAATGGGAATATAATTTGAGTCCCAAACATTTGACAGCCTCATCTTTTTAATGATACACTTATTGTTATAAGTTTATTATAATAATCTTTTAAATAGTGTACTGGGTTAAACACTGGAATATTCCTACAAATGATGTTATTGCATGAGATTTGATGATTTCCTCACCTGCATAAAATCCTCCAGTGGCCTCCTGGGGACCTCGGAAAAAATTCAAATCTGGCCCCTGAGCACTGTCCCAGGAGCTTCTCCCCGGTGGGGTCCTTTCCCAAACCTTCAGTTCCACAGTGTGGCACTTGGAGTTCCAAAGTCCACGGTCCCCTCTCCAGCCACTGCGCTTTTCATGTGTTGACAGACAACACTGCCATGTTCTATAGCCTTGAATTCTCTGAGCCTTGCACGGAGTGGGGACAGAGGGCATGCCGAAAGGCACTGCGGATGGAATGATGGATGTAACGAACAAATGCAGAGTCACCACACCTTTTATGGAGCTAAGGGTCTGTTTCTTTTGCTCTCCTAACCTGGGGAGAACTGTATTTAATGGTCATGTGTTTCAGAGGCAGGACATATAAGGGAAAAGAATACTAGGCTCAGATTTGGGAGATTTCTGCTGTCCCCCCATTCGCTGGATAACCTTGGACTGCTCACTGACCTTGTCTGCGCTCCTGACGGACGCATTGAGGGACTAGGCTGAGCCGTCCCAGGCCCCTCTAGCTCTAACTCCCATGACCTTTATCCTCCCCTTCACTTTCTCCATGGAATGTAGTTCCCTTCTCAATCCACACTTGCAACCATTTTTTTTGCAAGAAATTGCATAGGCACCAATATTAACCAACCTGTGTAACCGTCCATAGGGATGTAATTCAAAACACAGCCTTCATGTAGCCAAGGCTGAAAGGTAAACACAGATGGGCAACAGAGCAGCTCGAAAAATCAACCACTTCATTTGTGAGGCCATCTGGTCATCCTTTACAGTGTCTTTCTGTACAGGCATTGGGCACAGACACGTGAGAGGCTGTGAAGTCACAGCTGAATTTGCTGGCCATGGTCTCCGTCCAAAAAGGGTGGACGTTGGTAAATGACCAGGCATTTTTGAGGGGCGTGTTGCTGATATTGTGAACATCGTTCTGTACCTCATCATCGAAGATTTGGATATTGGTGTTTTGGGGGCTGTTTGACAGATTACGGCTTTTTCCAGAGCTATCTAGTTTTCGTTTTTCTAAGCTTTCCCTCGTGCAGCTACTGATATGGTTGCCAATAGACGCTCAACATGCAGCTGGGCAACGTAAGAAAAAACACCTAATGAGCATCTCACTTGCACCGCTGCTTACCTTCTGCAGATTCTTCTGAACTGAACATCCACACATCTTCTTGTTGCCTTTTGATCACAGCTGCTTCGTATACTTGAAACTGCCCAGTGAGGCTCCAGAACAGGACCTCCCCCCCAACCTTGGCCTCTCCACCTGCTGGTTAATCCCTGAAGACTCCTTGAGGCCAATTTACCAGCTGTTCTACCCACCTGCAGCCCTGCTGGGGAGGGTTTTGGCAGGCCCCTCTCCGGGTTTCCTGCCCTGCTCGCCAGCTCCCAGCCATTCCTGTGTCCAACTTCTCCACCCTATGAAAACTCGGGCCAAACCCTTTCCTGGGCTGAAGCAAGAAATTCAGAAATTGCGTATCAAGCAGCAGTAGCACCGGGCATCGGGGTGAAAACAGAGCCCTCTCCCAACAGGAGATTCCGACAGAACTTTCCAAGACGCGGCCCTACGGGAACCCTTTCCTGTATTCCTCCATCACTTTGTTTTACCCTTACCCCTTCAACGAGCATTTCAAAAATTTCCTTTCTCCAAGGGTGAAAAAATTACAGCTGAATTTTCACTTCCTGTTTAACTTGTGATGGAAAAAAAAAAACAACCCAAAACAGCGAGCTGTGCAAATTGAACTATGGATAAAAATAGCTCCGCTATCTGAAGTCATTAAGTGAACATAAAAGGCTCTTCGTGGTCTCGGGATATCCGTAACCTGGCATCTGTCTGCTTGCCTCCACCATTACCCCGAGGCAAGGCATTCAGAACAAGGACTCGCACTTAATGGCACCTTGAGAGTAAGTGCTCCCAGGTGCCCATCACACCTGTCACTCTGAACAGCTGTTGCTGAGTGACGGCTGGTCCCCTCCACCCTCCATTGCTTTTTGCATAAACAGGCCCGCAGAGCTGTGCCAGGGGTGCGCAGCTTCTGGAGCTGGGTGTGCAGAGCCCGGCCCGCAGCAACCGCGTGTTGCCCCTCACCTGGCTTTGCTGTGCCCGTTCCAACACTCCTCTTCGTTGGACGTGCCCGCCGTCACGCCTTCGTCCTTGCAGATGGTGTAGGGCAACGCCGACCAGACCTTCTTAGAGAGCTTCAGTTTCTCTTTTATGTCTGTGACCTGATCGGGAAAGTAAGGGAAGGCAGTGACTATTTTCCCTAAATGCTGCCCATGTCTACCCGAGGACACCATGCAGGTGAAGCTTACAGAACCTGTGATAGGACTAGTGCAAACTCTGTCTCAGTTTTAAAGGAGATACAGGATTTACTGTCCAGGAAAACCTCGCTCCCTCCTCCCTCAGTCTTCCTCCAGCTTCTGGCAGAGAGTACCCAGGTAGTTGGTTTTCTGATTTCCATCTGTTCTGTCCTTTGAATTAAACACTCGTGAAGCATCTCAAGTGGCTTTGGGTCTCTCCCCAACTGGGAGAAATAGGTGCACTGTACAGCAAACACCCCAGACAGAGTTTTTAGAATTCATCTGCGTAGATGTCGGGTAAAGGCACCCAAACAATGTACTGAGAGACAAAACGCCTTTCCCAATGGTCTGCTTATTTCTGCAAGAAACACATTCAGCTGCTGGTAACCTCTGCTCCTGACTAACGGACAGGCCCATGTAGCACGCACTTGGTTGGTGAGCAGCAACCCAAACCCATGTAAAAATCTCTAGTCATTTCAAATACAGGCGAGTGTAAAATCCACAGCCTTTTGGATGGACGGCCAGGAGAAGCTTAGTAACACCATCATGGGTAGTTCAGGATCAGCATTGACTCTGCCCCCCAGAGGAAAGGGCAGGGAGAGAAATTCTATACCACGTTGGTCCGTAATTAACATCTAGGTTCATGCAGTCACAACCTGACTTCCTGTGCTACCTTTATGAATGGTGGGGAAGTTGATGAACATTTGAAATGCGCTTGCTACAGGTTGAATTGTGCCCCCCAGATTCCTATGCTCAAGTCCCTCAGTACCTCTGAATGTGCTCTTGTGTGGAGATATGGTCCTCACAGAGGTAAGGAAGCTTAACATGAGGCCAACAGAGCGCCCAGATGGAAATGACTAGTGTTCTTACAAAAGGGGAAATTCAGACCCAGAGGTAAGCATAAAGGGAAGATGAGGTGAGGAGATTAGGAAGAAGACAGCTGCTTAAAGCCCAGGGAAAAGGTCTGAAAAAGATTCTTTCCTCTCAGCCTTCAGAAGGAACCCACCCTGCCTGACACTTTGATTTTGAACTTCTAACTTCCACAACTGTGAGACCATTGGCTCTGCAGTTTGCACCACCCAGTCTGAGGTGCTCTGTTAGGTCATTCCTACCAACTCTGTGCAGCAAATCCTAGGAGGGAGACTCACTGAGATCTAGGGGCATCACTGTGCATTTGAGATCAACAGCCTTTGGATGTGAAGTATTCTGTTTATTGTGGATAGAGTATAGACTCGAGAAAAAGATTCCAAGGAACCTTTGTCAGGTTCAAGAGTGAGCACAAAGGAATGAAAGACCCAACATTTTATTTTGGCTCCAGTTATGCTTCTCAGTAGTTCCAGAATTATACTTGTGGCTCCTGGGTCACTGTGACGCTGAGACTGACAGAGGCGTCATTCTCAGTGCTGGCCCCCAACAAAGGGCTGCAGTGGGCTGGGTGCTGACTCAGAGAACCTGGGGCCTATTGGTGAAGAGTGTGCTGTTACTTTTGTTTCAGAGAATGAAAATATCCACGAGTAAGGACAGCCCAAGCAGTAGCTTACACACAGGAAATGTTTAATGTAGCTGGAAATCCATACTCTTTGACTCCCCCCATCCAATTCTCCTTCTAACCAATCTGACTGGGTTAGAAAGTTTGCAATAAGAGCCTGTCCTTTTCTGTGAAACTCTCCAGGCACAGATGTGTGAGCGTGTAGTTATGTATTTATTTTTTTAACAATAAATGCCATTCCTATCCAGCCACGGATAAATGTATACATTCTGTTTATCAGTTACAAAAAAACCCAACCCCCCAAATACCAGCTAATCAATGTTGAAAGAAAGATCGTTAGAAAGATCACCATTCTGCAAGCACCATAGTCATAACTGACCCCAGCAAGTGTGATCAATAGATGCTGTTGTGAGTTGAATTGTGTGCTCCCATCAAGACACTGTGGACTCATAGCCACCAGTACCTGTGACTGTCACCTCACTTGGAAATGGGGTCATTGAGATGATGGAGATAAAATGGGGTCATCAGGGTGGGCCCTGATCCAATATGAATGTGTTCTTAGAGAAAGGGAAAAATGGACGCAGGAGAGACACAAAGGGGGGAGAGCGTATGAAGATGAAGGCAGAGATGGGGCGATGCACCTACAAGCCAAGGTTCTCCAAAGACTGCCAGCAAACCTCCAGAGGCTGGGAGAGGCTTGGAGCCAATTCTCCCCCACAGCCTCCGGTAGAAGCAGCCCTGCTGACACTTGGCTCTCAGACTTCTGGCCCTCAGGCTGCGAGATATTGAATTTCTGCTGTTGGAAGGCACCCAGTGGGTGGTACTTTGCTGCAGGAGCCCTAGCAAACTAGGGCAGGTACGACAAGTGTTGGGTAAAAAGTGCGATGGAGAACAGGATTTTCACACCGCCCCAAAGCAAAGCATCCCCCCCATTATTCAGGGAAAACTGGTCATTGGACCGTGCAAAAAATTGGCAGCCCCCCTCCCTTGCCCAAGAGATCAAACAGGACAAATTGATATTGTGTACCTCCTGATGTGATGTGACAAGGACACGTTGCTTCTGCAGCCCAAATTCCCATCTGAATCCAAGGGGAACCCACCAGACAAACCCGAACTGAGCCACCTTCTGCAAAACAACTGGCTGCGTGCCTCCAAATGCCAGTCGTAAAAAACAAAGTAAGGCTGAGAAGTCCTTCGGGACTAAGGATGGTAGGAGGTGTGGTGCCCACTGGGTTCTGGACTGGGCACTAGATCATAAAATACTCTCCGTACAGGGCACTATTGAGGTAGATGAAGAATCTGAATAATAACTTCTGTGAATACTATTGTATTAGTGTTGAATTTCCTGAATATGAAATGATACTGTGGTAATATAGAAGAATGTCGTCTCCTCAAGAGATAGTGCTAAAGTATTCAGAATGAAAGGGTGATGATTTCCATAACTTACAATAGAATGGTTTAATAATAATAATGAAAATCAATACATAGGTGTATAGAGAAAGAAAGAAAGCAAATGTGGTGAATTTTTAATAATTAGTGAACACAGATGAAGGTATATATATTTTTTAATCATTTTTGGTAAGTTTGATTTTTTCCCCAAAATTAAATAGGTCAGAAATAAGATCTCCTATGTGAGATCCATTCAGCCTTGGTGTCCTTAGTCTACAATCCAGACTGCCGCCTTTAGGCTACTCATTTTCAAAAACAGACCCCGGGGAGAGAATCAGGTGGTACGTATTCAGAGCTCACTCAGCAAACTCTCACCAGCCTGAGGACTGACATACTGTGAGGCGGGTTCTGTCCCACCATAAAGTATACCAAGAATCAGCGCCCCTTTTCTGAGACACAGAGAAAGAATAAGATGGTGCGATGTCCCACAGGTATCTTCTCTCTTAACGCTCACAGAGTTTAACTGTGTATGTGGAGTTGCTGAGTGTTTAGCTCAAACTCAAGTATTGTTTCTTTTAAGGTGTGTTCTCTGCCCTCCTATTAGAGTTAGATTCCATGGCAGTGCTCCGCAGTGCCCTGTTCATGATTCTAAGTACTGATCAGCCTGAACTTACAACAGGCTTACTTTTCTGATTCACTCTTAGATTGCATGCTCCTTGGTACAAAGACTCTAATTTGTCTCACTGGTTACCACGGGTCAGGGTGGACAGTCATCTCAGTTTTTCTGGGATGTAAGGGATTGTAGGATGCCAAATTTTCAGAACCACTACTGAAAAGTCCTGGGCAAACCAGGACACATTGGTCACACATGTTTCTGCACACAGTAGGCTCTTAATAAATGTCAGTTGAGAAAATGGACTGAACTGTTTTGCTCTATTACCAGGTCATAGACAATATCGCTAACACAAAATAGTTGGGGTCACCCCATGTGTGCACTTATCTCCAGGGGGCTGAGAGGAGTTGTGGGGATAAGTGAGGAACATGGGGGTCCCTCCCTGCTGACTCACCAGAGCACATTCTGTAACCAGGCTGTGTTCTTCCCGGGGCTCAGTGAGTGGCCAGGCTTGGTCACGTGTGATTGAAGGAAGGAGACAACAGCAAGGGAGCAGTGAGATGGGAATGCTCTTTCAACATCCCGCACGGGAACATCGGCTGATGCCCTTTCCGGCTGGGATAGTCATGCAGACAGCTGGGAGGACGGGCAGCATTAGCCCCTGGAGAGGCGCACACCTTTGATTCTGAAGGACGGCTGAATGACTGCAGTTTCTCTTTCAGTTTCAAGAAAGTTTTGCAATTCTCACACCATTTAGAAATATTTTCTATTATTTTTATCTCTGAATAATGTATAGGACTACTTTGTTGGAGCTCCAGACCTAAGTTGTTTTGTTCCCCACCTTGGAAACTACGTGTATACAATAGTGGGCCAAGCTTTATGTTGACAAGCACCATTAGTATAAATGAGTTATTGACCATAACAGTGAGTCCTGATTCATTAATCATACAAACTCCATGGGAACAAAGACCTGGAATCATATATGGGATTTACAATTTCTTTTCTGTTTCCCAAATGAGCTACTCAAGGTCAGATTCACTTTCTCCAATACTTGTAAATTACATTTACCATTTTTTCCAGTATTTTATACCCCAGTATGAAATGCTGTAATATTAGTGATATCTGAGTATTAAAAAGCTTTCATTTATGCTCCTGGGGGACCCTGATCTATATAAACACTGTTGGGGCCCACAGGGCAAAAAATGAACCTCCTTTTAGAACTATCTGGAGTTCATCCTAGTTTCTGACAGTTTCAACTCCTGGCTTCCATAGAGACCTGAACTCTTAGTTCGAGGTATATCTAATACTTGACCCTGAATCTTTGACTCTGGGAAGACAGGGGTACCATTTACATACCCATCTGCCAGAACTTTAGAGTTAGATAAAAGAGGGAGGGAACCGACAAAGGACTGCTGAAAGCAAAGGGCTTACCAA